TTATTCCCAGTCATCATTTGCCTGACACAGAGATTGTTAGGTGTAACTTCGTTAAACCCCGGGATGAGAGATATTTCCGTCGGTGAACCCCTAGGTCGAATGTGTTATGCTTGGGTGAACCGATTCAAGTGGTTTAAAATACAGACCGGAATTTTCTACGTTCGGGTATCGATTGAGACACAAACAGCACGTTCTACTAACAAGCAGTGGTTCACCTTGGGGTATGAGGTGGTTGGTATAGTGGTAAAACACACGCCTTTCATGCGGTGGGTTCAAGATTGAAAGCCCGAACTGTGGGACGGTGGATATACACTACTGATGATGAGCTCTAATAAGAGCGAAACTGGAGTCCAGTGATTCCGAGGATTGTGTGCGTGAAGGTGAAGTCCGAAGGATAGTCAGTTCACATCAGTCAACATCAGTTATGCAACAGCTCTACTCACAATGAACTGTGAGTAAAATGCGAATAAATAAGCTTATCGCAGTTGAAATCAACACTTACATTTACGTCAGATTGATGAGAGTACTGATGTTGACTACTTCCCTTTAAATGTGCTTTATAAACGTACAATTCCTCGTTGTCTATGACATTTGGTGTCTCATCCGTTATAAGATAACTGAACATCAGCGGAAAAAAATTAAAGAATAGATTTTTGAAAATAACTGTCGGACACGTACTGATTTCATTTTCCTGATACCCTGCGTGGCCTCCTCGATTTTCGACCAATTAAGTTAGTTCTTTTGGTATGTATTTCACCAAACTGGTAATCAGATCACATTTGGAAATTGCCTTCCGTACATTGATTGTGACATTCTAACCTCCAAATTTCCGTTTTCGGAGTGGCTAAATTGACTGGGTCTTGAGCGCACAAAGAAAGAAAAAAGATATTTGGATCACATTGAAATCCGGGTTGTTAGGCGATAACGGAATGAATTCGATGTTTTGACCTCGACAGCCCAGCAACTGTTTTGATGCGAGAAAATATTGGTGTAAAAAATTTCGACGACAAACTTCGCGGGAGACACAATCAAGAGCGTTATTGTAGAAACGTGTTACGGTTCTTGAATGTGTTTTGACAGTGGCATTCACTGAAAGCTTGACTGATCAGTAGTCACTCCTGATCGATCCGGTTTGAAGAAAACGCTGTGAGCATTGTTTCACAGTTGAACCAATCTGCTACTCACTTTGTCAGGAATAAGACGTTTGAATTCTTTCCGAATTCTTTTCCCGAAAACTCAGATTCGAAGTGTTCAGTCAGATCACAAGTGTCTTATCATTGTCCGTCAAGTCTGTCTTGCACGGACTGACAAATGTGACTTGTTTTTCACGAGCATCTAAAGGTTAACTAACACAAAGCGGCCAACTTTCCCTACCACAAACACACACAAACGATTCAGGATGCGATGTGTGTGGACGGCCCTGTGGATTGTGGTCACTCTTTGCCATTTGACGTGCACAATTTCGTCCGACACAAGTGCAACTGAACCACAGATGAAATTTATACTCAGTAGCAGTTTTTCGGCCTTAGTGAAATCATTCCAAGTGGGAATTCATCTACAGTGATCGGTTTTAAGGGATAGACCAGAAGCCGAGTTAATTGAGCTGTGTATCTGTGGGACCTATTCACAATTGGTTCGTGTTCGGACCGGGTCAGGGAGCCGGAGTATGGATATTTCCGACCAGTTCGAACGTGTCCAAAACGAAGATTCTTCTCGTTGACAGTACATCGTTTCATAAAACCGACTGGTGAGGAAAATCTGAGACAAAACAGAGAAAAACATAAATCTTAACGGAATAACGAGATGCGCGCTTGCATGTGTGTGTATGTGTGTGTGGACATGAGTGGTAGCCTAATACAATCCTATTTCGTCCCAGGAGAATGAAAATGTCAAGTCAGTTCGTTTTGTTAGCAAAAAGTACACGACAGCAGTATACGTATTAGCGAGTCCAGTCCAGAAAGCGGAAGGATTCTAGGACTTAAATGCGATGGAAACGTTTGTGATAACCAACAAAGAGCACTGGACAGCCGTTTCATCCTGTTTGGGATCCGCCAGCAGTGCGTACTTTTTCTGTCCTTGTCAGGACTCGAACCGTGATCAGTCGGG